ACAAATGGCATGATTGATGGATCAGTCTGTTTCCAACAACCAATGAAAAATACCTTAGTATCTTTCCTTAGTTTGGCAAAGTCCTTTCTTGATTAAAGCTGGCAACTATAGGGATAAAAGAACATCTGAAATATTGTACCTGATAGGTCTTTTGGTGAAACATATTCCCCAAAGGCTTGAATCATACCCTTTTCTGTAAGAACTGTGACTCCTTAGGAGGGTTGACTGACTTTAGGAGAGATTGTAGGATGCCTGCTTCTAGTACACCAGTGATTGAACAGATCTGGAAACAGTAACTAAGTCACCCCCATTTACAGCTCAGCATTTTAAGGAAATTCAAGTTTGGTGCCTGTTTGCCTTAAACCACTGTCAACAAAAGTAACACAGGAGCTGCTTAAGAAGCAGCGTAGACATCTGTGTCACGGATGGAGGAGGAGTTGACAGCCCAATGCGGTAGTCGGGTATCATAGAATCATTGAATGCTTTAGGTTGGAAGAGGCCTTTAAAGGCCATCTAGTCCAACTCACCTGCAGTGAGCAGAGACATCTTCCACTAGATCAGGTTGCTCAAAGCCCCGTCCAACCTGGCCTCAAATGTTTCCAGGGATGGGGCATTTATCGCCTCTCTGGGCAATCTGTGCCAGTGCCACACCAAACATCTTCCCCTCGGGCAGGTCACCCTCGCTGTGAATGAGCTCCCTACATCTGCAGTTGCTGGGTTGGTTTTGTACTGTCTGTGGAGGTCTAAGATTGAAAGGTATGGTGCGTCGCTCTTTGAGAACATTTCCTCTAACCTGAAAATTACAATCTGCAGCATTTAAAAAAAAGTGTCAGAATGCTGATCTTTCATTGCCTCAGACTCATTTACCTCGTAAGGATGGGAAGACTATGCATTGATTAAACGGAATGCATTTGTTGTTTCAGATGCATTCATCGTGAATTGTTATAATTTAATCTAGGCTGTGCAGGGTCCTGGAGGGAAGCGACCAAGTGCAATATATATCTGCATCATTAAAAATAATTTAAGTGTGATGACAGCTGGAAAACAACCATACAAGTGATTTCAGGGTGTTCCATATTTATTCCCTGGTAATTATAAATCGTTGTTGGTTTTGTCAGTTTAGAAGTCAAAAGGCACGTTTTTAACACATCAGCCTTCAGTCTGGGCTCCGTAAATCAAGCAAATTGAGCAGACACCTGCCTAATATTTAGTCCTTGTTACCACAAATTCAAGCTTCTCCCATTCATTTGTTTAATCCCCAAAAGTCTGCTTGAAGTAGGTAAATATTATTCCGTATTACTGATGGAGAACTGAAGTGTAGGGCAGGTTGAAAGTAACTTTACAGAAAATAGCGTTAAAGCAAGGGCTTTTAGATAATCTACAAGTCTTAATCTCTGAAGTTAGCTGAATATTTTTGATGTTACTCTAGGTGATTTCTTCATTGATAAACTGTGACTGAATTGACCCTGTCTTCTGGGAGCAAGCATGGTTTGTTATCCTTGGTAACGCAGGGAGTTAACAGGTACAATGAAAAAGTGCTGGTTTTCTATTAAAAGTAGAATTTTGTTAAAACACCATGCTGTTGTGATATTTGGGGAATATGACAGGGGTTAATGGCTGAAAAGATTATAGGTTTATCGATGATACATAGTCTCTAAATGTTTTTTGAACTGTACGTAGGGATCACTTAATATGCTGCTGGAAAGCAACCATTAGCTGGAAAGCGGCAGTTGTTGGAGAGCTCAGAGCAGTGTTACATGACAGCTGAGGGGCGAAAGTAAAAGAGGTCTTTCCCTTGCCAGATACTCTTGTGGCTAAAACCTGGTTACCTACTGAAGTACAGTGGCAACTTAAAGCAGAAAGGCCACACTGGAAAAGGAAAACTAAAAGGCATATTATTAAGGAAAGAGATGTAAAAAATGAAATTATCACTTTCTTGCTTTGTCTAATATGTATGTTTCCATAGGGCTATTGAAAATCTATATATAAAATACAGCTGCTAAACTCTTAATCAGTTTCTCTACTTGCATGTGCACTGACCCTTTCATTCTTTCCTTTTCATGTAAGACAAAGTTGAGGTATGAACCAGATAAAGCCAAAAGGAAATAGAGGTAATATGCCATAGGATTTTCCCAGGATTTTTACATAAATTGGCCTATGGGACAGCTCTGCAGTACTGTTTTCTGCGTGGACTCTTTTCCTGGTAAAAGAACAGTTAAGCCCTGTCCAGCAAGACTAAGAGTTTACAGTCCTTTGGAGGTGGGTGAGTAAGGGACTTGAAGACAAAGGCCAAGGCTGCATCTTGATCCTCTCAAAGGCTAAACTCTAGGACCTGATCAGAAAAATAATTCACAAGAATTGGCTGTCCTAAATACGTTGTTTTGGTCATTCACTGAATGCTACCACTAGTTTGGATTGTGAAATACAGGAGGTCTCGTCATGGACAAGACCTTTTAGGCTACGAAAACAGAATAAACATGTGGTGTATATCCCAGTGGTCTTTCACATAGCGCAGCTGTGATGTTTGCCCACTAAATAATCATTGGGGAAAATGTCATGAAGCACTGATTTGTCTGTAAGCAAGAGTACTACCCAGAATTTTATGTATCTCAGGAACTCTTTAGTCACTCCTGATTCAATCAAATGCTAGAAAACACACTTTTGCTCTCCTGTCAAGGTAACTTATTCTATTAGATATTTCCAAAAAAATCAAGAGAATTACAGATGCATGAGTGTCCAGGAGAGCCTTTGAAGGAAGGACTAATGGTCTTATTTTTGAAAGAATATCTTCATATTGTCACAAGGTATTAGTGATATTGCCATTTTTTTTTCCTGGATGTGGAGTTTTGTGGGCATTGCTCATCTCCAGCCACTCGTCAGTGTCTGTTAGGGCACTTTAACTTACATTCGCCACCTTGAGATGCTCTGATGGTTGCAGCGGATCCCTGTGGCAGAAGTCTGACAGCAGCCACTCTTTCAGGTTAGGATGGGGTTTGCTGTGGATCTGGCACGTGGGAAATGGGGCAGTGAAGCAGTTGTTGCAGTGGGCCGTCGCTAATCCCTCTGGTCAGTGGGACTGCCCTGGCTGGTTATGCTGAATGTTGGGCAATTTTGTGAAGCTTCCTTCCTGTGGGGCTGTGCCTTGAGCATAATGGTAATACACAATTGTTGTGCTTTATTGTATTTCCTTCAAGTTGCCATGGAGTCCACTGGATAATATTTCTTAATAAATGAACTGAATTTAACTTGTAGCTTAAGAAATCCAGAGACTGTGTATTAGAACTTCTTTATTTCCATGTCTTCTCTTGTTGAGAAAGGTAGTGTTCAGGAGTGTGCAAAAAGTGGCAAAGGAAAGGACTTCAAGGTGTAAATCTTTATTTCTGAAATTTTGGGTTAAAGCTTACTTGCCGCTTAGGAACAAATGCATTTGCTATTAGCAGTGGGAAATACTCTAACCAGATACTAGACCAGAACATGGGTGTGAAACAACAACTAAGTCAAATCTCTTTAAACAATCTCACTGTTGAAACGTGGTTGAAATGTTTATTTGCTATGTAATATATTTGTCTAAATTGGACTCCGTTGCCGTATACTGAGGTCGAGCGCGTTGTCTCAGTGAAACAGGGGCTGTTAAGGCCAAAGGCCATGTTTTTGTGGCTGGTATGAAGCTCACCGTGGATACAGTTAAAATACAGGATAGTAATAAGTGCTTCCTGGATTTGGATTTTTCTTTCTGACAATCCTTCAGGAGTAACATAGCAGGATTTAATCATTATCAATTACAGGTCTTAATTAAATGCTAGTAAGCACTTATTATGGTGATCGTGGAATGGAAATAGCTGCCTAAAGATTTAAGGGCTGTTTATAGGAGTAACAGCTGCTGAATAAACATAAAACTTTTCTTATTTGTCTCTGAGATTGAAATTGGAAAAAACCGTAAGAAATGCATGGCAGACATTTCAGTTTTGAGGATCTTGCTTTTGTTGTACATTGGCTTCACTTTTTTGCAGCTAATAATATTTTCAAAGCTCTGTGTTCAACTGCAGGGATATTTTGTGTAGTTTGTGGATTGCATGTTCAAAATAGAAGCGTATGCAAACAAAAAAAATGATCACTAATAATTTGTGCGTGTAAATAATCCATTGAAGATACCATCAGTTTAACTGCATGTGCAGATTAAAAATCATCATTTGAAAACAAGCTGCTTAATATTCAGTTTATATTTATGTCAAAATCTGTGGAGACATACAATAATTTTATGATAGTTAACAATAGGAAAACTGTAGAAGTCTTGAGCTTTGATTTAGATAAGTACTGAAAATACGGATGTTTATCCATCCTACACAACTCTTCCGTTTTCTTGCAAAATTTCTAGTTCTTCAGGCCTTGAGGGAAGCTAGAAATGTATTGTAATTCTGCATTTGGTTCCCACTAGACTCCACACGAACAGAGAAAATTGAGAAGAAAATTACTCTTTCATTTTCGAGTTTCCTCACAAAAGGGTAGTCTAAGTTTGGGGGTTTTTTTAGGTCTGCTTTCCTCATTACTGTGGTAGCTATGAAGCTGGAAGAGTTTTATGCGTTTGGCTTATTACTAAAGTAATTCAGATCTGGATCATGTGAATCTTTTAGGTCTCTTTTTTTTTGGTGCAAATTGCATGAATCTTCAGAGTTTTCTTCTTCTAATCTGTGATATTAGTAAGTCTCCACTGCAAGCTTAATGATGGATGCCTTGCAGACCTGTGCTACTAATTATGCTCTGAATTTTTTCTCAGGCCATCTGGCTCTTTGTGGTAGGGTAGGAACTTGATCCCCAGCACCAAACATTACCAACTCAACTGTAATGAAATAAGCTGACTACTGCATGACACAAAAAGGCCTCACTTAGCAGTGATTGTGTGATGATGCTAAGCAGGTTTGGAGCTGGAATGCGACTGAGCTTGACAGTTTCTTTGTTAAAATATTTTAATCAATCCCACTGCAATGTTTTCTCAATGCTAGAATTCTGCCAAACATCTGGCTGGGAAGTTGCCCTCGGCAGCTGGAGCACGTGACTGTCAAGCTGAAGCACGAGCTGGGTGTTACAGCTGTGATGAACTTCCAGACCGAATGGGACATTGTTCAGAATTCCTGGGGCTGCAACCGCTACCCAGAACCCATGAGCCCCGAAATCCTCATGAGACTGTATAAAGAGGAAGGTCTGGCTTATGTCTGGATGCCAACCCCAGACATGAGCACTGAAGGTAATGCTCAGGCCACTGTTGCAGCTAAATTAGTAGTAACAAACCCTTTGAGTTACTGAACTGTCACTTTCATGACTGGGGTTTTTTTCTGTGTAAATTTTGTGTAAAAGTATAGCTAATGCGCAAGGAGTAGTTTTTGTGCGTGTGTTGTCTCTAACAAATTACTCATATTTTCTTGTAGGCGGAGAGGCCATTGAAAGTACTTTGTGTCTGGCGGTATATGGGTATTTGAGTTTAAAGCCATCCAACATTGATATCTGCTTGACTGGTTTTGCTTTCAGCTTGAATTCAGCCGTATAATGAAAATATGCTGTGTAGGTGGAAGACTGTGGGCTTGCACAGCAGGACAGCTTGCCATCCTTGCTGGTTAAAAATGGAGAGACAATACTGTATGTCTGTCTCTGCTATTCCCTTCCTCCAACAAATAATTTTTCTTTAACTATAGTATCCCAGTCTGATACTGAGATAAATGATCTTGGTAATTTAGATAATTATTTGTAATTAATTTAGGATACCCATAGCATCTCATGTTGTAACATAAATTATTATTTTTAATTCCTCTGTTGGAATGCTCCAAAATCTTATTTCCAACCAGTAGGTTAGAAAATGTGCACGTTTTTGAGTGAGTGCTTTTTCACCAGGAGAGTGCTTTCAACAGTGTGAAATACTGCTGCCACAAGTAGGGAATTGTCATATCAGTAATAGGACATCAGGGAAGACAGGAGACCTTAAAACGGGGATTTGAAAGGGCTTTATGTCAGTGCTCATCTGTGCCATGAGGAGAAGTTAGGCTCTGATGTTTGCAGCTTCAGTTCCCGGGGTAGCAGGGAGAAAGACATCAGAAAATATGGTATAGTCATCCCTTTGGGAGTGAGAAAGACTGTTCTGTGTTGCTTAACCATATGCTTAGTACACAATAAAATCAGAACAGCATGAAGTTGTACAGGAGAATACTCTAGTTCTGTAACTCCCTCACTTCTTGACATAATGGCCCTCATTACAGTATTTTGGAAAGCAGCAGTAGATAGGTACCTTCACAAACCTCTGGTACTAAAAAATATTGCACTTTTGGCTTGCTAACTTTAATGCTATAGAAGATGTACTGTTTGATGTACTTTGCTGCCTTATCTCAGTCCCTGTGAAAATGAATACGCCACACATGTCCAGTGTTGATCAGAATGTGTATTTAGAGAAGACATGGGGCATTTTAAAGATTTTGTGTGATCCGAATCTGTGTTGCCAGAAGAAACAAAGTTTAGGGTAGAAAGTCATTCCACAAAAAAAAAAAAAAAATGTGTCAGGTTTGCCATTGTGATTCATAGTGCATCATGCTGCACGGTCATAATCTCAACCATGAACCCAGCTTTCTCAAATGGAAACGAACATGCCTTGTTTTTAACCTTAGGAAGAATACAGATGTTGCCACAAGCTGTCTGCCTCTTGCACGGGCTGCTGGAGAATGGACACACTGTCTATGTTCATTGCAATGCTGGCGTTGGCAGGTCTACAGCTGCTGTCTGTGGCTGGCTGAAGTACGTGATGGGATGGAGCCTGAGGAAAGTGCAGTACTTCTTGGCTTCCCGGAGACCAGCTGTCTACATTGACGAGGAAGCTCTGAATCGTGCTGAAGATGATTTCTACCAGAAATTTGGACGTCTTCGTTCCTCATGCAAAGTACAAGAGTAGAAAAGCAGAAGAGGAAAAGGAAGGTGAAAAGGAATCCTTACATTTGAACCCCGAGGACTTAGAAGTCAGGAGTCAGACACCTGCCTCTCCTCATCAGATTATAAGCTCGTCGTAAAAGTCATGAGAGTTTTGTTAAAAAGTGCCTTTGAGGATTTTTGGTTTGCTTTCTTTAAGCTGATATGATTGATGTTGTCAAGCCTTTTACTGCAAGTATGACACCTAGAAACTCTGCAAATGGAAACTTAGGATTTTCTTTTAGCTACTTGCCTACAGGAACTGAAGTTTTAGGGTAGACACTGAATAAGACGTGATGTGAAATAGTTAGAGATGGCAATATTTCAGTGGCAAGGAAGAGAGGGCATTCTCAGAAAAGCAGGTGCAAAGGTTGACTGGATTAAGGTTCAGGTTAATACGGAGCTGATCATTGTCAAAGCTGCTCAGTTATTTTAGGTGGAGTGTACGTTATTGAAGTGTTTTCTAGTAATTTTGTAGAAAAATAGCATTAATGAGAAAGACCAGAAGGAAACTGATTTTTCAACTCAGTTTCTTAAACAAAAAGCTTAATATCTAATGCATTGAACTAAAATATGCTTTCTTTGCCTATCTAGTTAATATTAAATATTATGAGTTACAGCTATATTCTTTTATGACATTGGGCTTATGCTGGGATGTGTCATGAAGAGAGGAAACCGCTCCAGTTGCTGCAGGCTTACTCTGTTGCAGGGAAGGACTACTATTTATTACATTATCCTAGGCTGTAAGAGCTCTAAGTCAAAGATAGATTTTGCTCTTCTGGTCCATACAGTGCTGTACAGTGGGCTTCCTAGGTGCCGAGTCAATCTAAGTAGTAACCACTGGGCTAAAACATGACATATAGGAACTCCATGACAAGGCTCTGCTTATGACTGATGCCACAGCCTCTGTGTTGTTGACCTAGATGAATTTCTTCACAGTAGCAGAAGTCTCTACTTCTTGCAGAAGCAGTGTGTGGATGTTCACAGATGCTAGATTTAGCTAAGTGAAGCAAATACATTCCTGTATAGGAGCAAAGAGCAACTCTGAGGAGGGTTTCTCAGGGTCTTAGTAGGCTAACGTTGGCTTTGTGGATGATCCCAAATGTTTTCCAGTACTGCTTGGTCCCTTAGCTGAACTAAGCAGTGGCACCAACAGCTTCCAGTCCTGCTCAGGTAAAACCAATTTGCTGTAGGTGAAGTCCAAGAGAGAAGGGAGGGAAAGCATTTCCTAAGGAACAGAGGATTAAGGATGCATAAACATTAAGAAACCTAGTTCCTATAGGTTTATTCTTCAGTGACATTTCATTTTTTCCAGCCAACTTGTTCCTCTAAAGACACAGTCACTGCTAGAGTAGTTTAGCTGATATATATTGATGATCTGAATGCTTAATGGAGAAACTATTAGATATGAAGTGTTTATGGAGAATGTCCAGGACAATAAAATACGTTTTATTTATCCTATACATCAATCATCTTCAAAAGGAAAAATGTTCATTTAAGTTACTCTATATGGGTGGTTTTGATCAGGACTGAATCTGAATTTTTGCTTTGAAATAACACTGCCTGTTTAGAAGATGGATAAGTTCTCTATTTAATAAAAACATAATGACAGTTCCAGCAGCCGATTTTGTCGTATGTCTTTGGCTCCCAATTTCATGAGTAGCAGAAAGGGTCATGACTGATATTTCTATATAGAGGTGGGACCAGCCACTTTAACAGTAACAACCCATCTCTTGTCTGCTATGCTGTGTCAGTTTTGATGGGCTGTTGAGGAGGAAATCTCAAAAAACAGCACAGCAAAGATACATGGGTGATACGGCACCTCTGGTACCTCCAAAAACAAAAAAAGGGGTTGCTTCTCCTCACCCGATGTGGAGAGCAGAGGCAGCGTGTCAGTGCTGCTGTCTAGCTGTTGGGCTCCTGCAAATGTGCAAAGCTACAGCTGACCACCTGGGAGTTACCTTGTTTTGACCGAGTTTAAAGTAAAAATCATGAGATTATGCTACTGTGCACCTCTCAAAATCAAGTGCTGAGAGGCAGAAGAAGTGGAGAGTAGAACTCGCTTAACTTTTACATTTCTGTTGAGATATATTTGAAACCACAAGCTAAGATTTCCAAGCATCCCGGACAGACAATCCTTTCCATCCGATGCAACGTGCAATGTAAGTTGGGACAAGTACATGTGGGTTTAGTGCTTGTTTCACAGCTAACTGTATTTCTCTTTTAGGACTCTTCGGACTGAACAGTGCTTAACATGGCACAAACAGGTAAGTCAATGACTAAGTAAGTATAGCCATGCTGTATTAGCTGTTTCTTAATTCTGACCTTATTGTCAATAGAAGCAGACTGGTGCTTCATTTGTAGGGCAGGAATTCAAGTGATACAGAAGCCATAGATTCAAGGAAGCCCTAGCAAGGGTTTGTTGATTCACTGCTTTTTGTCATTTCAGTTTACTTGCCTGCTGCACTGCTGGAGGGCTTTTTGCAAGGGCATGTAGGAGTAGGACGGGGGTAATGGCTTTAACATGAAAGAGGGTAGGTTTAGACTAGATATAAGAAATAAATTCTTCCCTATGAGGGTGAGACCCTGGCACAGGTTTCCCAGAGCAGCTGTGTCTCTGTCCCCTCCCTGGAAGTGTTCAAGGCCAGGTTGGATGGGGCTTTGAGTAACCTGGTCTAGGGGAAGGTATCCCTGCCCATGGCAGGGGGGTTGAAACTAGATGGTCTATAAGGTCCCTTCCATCCCAAACGATTCATTGTATACAGATTGCATTAGCCAATCAACTACATGAAAAAAACTTGCCAACATCATGTTAACAAAGAATGCGAAGAGATCCTATGGCTTGCAGTCCCTTTGTACCTATTTGTAGCATACTTTTTCCCCTCATGGCCTTCCCACTTTTCCTGCCGGCCTTCCTCACTGAAGTCCACCCTGTTGAGTAACATTCATTCAGAGCCCTGTCTGTTGAATGCAACTAGGAATTTAAATGCTAAAGAGAACATTGCAAGAGGCTACAGCAACAGAAAAAGCAATCATATAAAAATATTCCATTTCTGCAACTGTATAATTACATGATAAATCTGCATCTAGAGATCATCTATTAGAATTCAAATTTGTAATATGTTTTTATGCTGATTGGATCATTAGCTGTTTCCACAGACTAGCCTCTTTAGTAATTTGGATGAAAGGATGAAGACAGTCTGTTGTTCATATACTTGTATGTTTCCTGGCTACTTTAGTCATAAAAGTGCTACAAAAGTTAGAGAAGAACAACTCCTATAGAATGAATTAGAAACAGATGAACAGTAACAGTTATTTTAAAGTGAGCCCAAGAAGCCAAACTAGTACATGTACAATAACGAGAGCCTGGTAGAAATATTTTGATAACTCATGACTGAAAAGCATCAGCTGGAGAAAGTGGCTTTCTGCTGGTATGAGCATCAGTATGCCCTGGCCTGTTACAACAGGTTTTTACATCTGTTAAATGAAAGAATAAAGTAGATCTTGCTACATGAAATGAAAACATTTATAACTCCAGATAGTTAGAGTATCTTGATGTCTTTGTTAGGCCAAACAATAGTATAAATTCTTTCCCGGGGCTATATAGATGTAGGAGTTACGCAATCGTAGCTGTACCCATGATTTTGTAGCAAACACAGCCCCTTGGATGGGTCAGGCTTTGAGTGGTATACATTCATGAATATTTTTCCTTTTGACATCAGAAAAATACTAATGAGAATCTTCTGCATGACATTTTTAGCTAGGCAGTGCAGCCTGATGAAAGGACACTGGGCTGGCTGGCATGAGTGTTTAATACCTTCTTTTCTCCCTTACTCCTTACTTGTTATTTCACACTTTGAACTTTGGTCTCCTTGGCACTTGGCTGTTCTAGGTGCTTAGGTTGTAAGTTCTCGGTCTTCCCTTTCTGTTTGTACAGCACCAAGCATGGTGAAGCTCTGGATGTGGCCAGGACTGCAGGTTTTATACCAGGTTGTACTCCAGAGTAGTTGGAAATTCTTACAACTGGCAACTGAGCTGTGTGTGCTGCACAAAAACGTGCAAAACAGTGTCTCTGCTCTGGGGTGGAAGTAAAATTTGAGACTGCCAGGCAGGCCCTCTTGGGCAATGATAAAGGAAAAATATAGGCTGTAGGTTGTGCAGGAGAGGGTAATAAAATCCCTACAGGAATGCAAGAAGTCAGACTTACTCCGTTACCTACGATGTCCTTTTTAAGTTCTAATTTCTAAAACCCACTGACTTTACTGGTCTGTAATTGAGAAAAATAATTTTGATATGAAGTAGTCAAAGACATTTGCCATAACTATATTACCCTGTTGCTTCTTTTATTCATCACTAAATTGCAGTGAGAGGTTTCAAACCAATGATAAAGTTAAAAAAAAATATTCTTTAAAATAATACGCTGGGACTGTGCAACAGGAAACTATGGAGAAATATTTAGAAGCATAATAACTACTGCAAAAGCACATATTTGGAAAGCAAGCCCTACCTTCTTGAAGGATAATGAACATCAGGCTGCCCTTAGGTAAAATGGAATTGGATTAATGTAGCAGAGGACAGGATATAGATGACTGTCTCCAGCTCTAACTGTTTACATTCTCAGTGGTAAATCAACACCTCTGCAGTTATTGCCTTAAAAGTATTCTGCTGGGAACAAATGTGTTTTATTTTCTGCATGTATATAGCTTAAAGGGAAAGGGGCTGCTCTGAGGGAGCAGACTTTGGAACAGTGGAAGTGTAAAGGAATTAATCCTTTTTCTGTTGCTCAACGACACAACAACATCACCACCATCAAGACCAAACCATATGACTTCATATTTTATGTTCTTCCTAAATTAACAGAGTAAAGCATTTTTTTTCAAGGGCAATGACTTTAACATGTATTAGCATTATTGCATAGTTGTGATACAAGCAATCAAAATACATGTAGTCGGTCCTTCAGTTATACTAACAGTGAACCTACAGGATGTTCATTCTTAATTATACATATTTTCCTCTTCCTCCACCCTTTCACCTCAAGATGCCTCATTCCAGTCTTGACTAGTTTATAAATGGGTTTGTGACTAAAAATTGCCATATTTGCAAAGATAAGTAATTAAACCTTTTTTACATATCAAGGTTTTTCTGGACATAAGGAAATAAGAACTGTTATGCCCTGTAAAACAAGGACGGTGACACTGTGAACCTCGGCTCTATACAATTCAGCCTTTTTGTGCTTAAACATGTTGTGTTTGGGAGATTGAATGTATAAAGATTGCAGGGTAGTGTCTCTGATTTGATAATTACTTCAATGCTGGTGTTGTTTTATTTACATCAAGGAAGATAGA